CGATAGTTTATCTATACAGTTTTATATAATAAGCTCAGTTATGCACGCGTTCTGTTTGGTTCTCACTTATGATCTATTGGAGGACAGACGTACAGATGAAGTCATCATTAAAACTTTTTTTCCGTTTATTTTAATTCTTTGTTATATAAAACAAATAGATTCCAAGTTGCCGTGCGTCTGTTCAGTAATAGATCACAGAGGACGTAAAATGCGGTAAGAACATCAGTGACACACGAGGTTGCGCTGCGCCTCGTGTGCCACTTTTTTGGATTGATTAGACTACAATTCAAAATTTTAATAGGATTGAGTGGAGTCGAATCGGTCTTTAATCATACGAGTGATCAAGAAAATCGGAAGACCGCGAAGCGGGAGTCCGATTTGTTAATCACAGATCGAATCGTTAATTACAGACAGAATTGGACGACACGAAGTCCTGTTACCAATTAATCATAACCATTACAATTTCCGACAGTTCGGGCCATAACCATTTCTGGATATCGGTTCGAGCTTTGTGATTGGGTGAGATCAAAACCAAAACAAAGCAAATTTGGCCGAGAGGTGCTGGAAACAAGAAGAAGCTGGTTTTTTTTTTTGGTTTTTTTTTTTGTGGCGGCCATGTTGTAATGCGGTAGTAAGCTGAAACAAAATTCGCTAATAAGGACTGGACGTAAGATACCATTAAAAATATTCGTTTATTTCAAACATTCAACATGCATGTCCTCGACATTCTCGCATTCTGAAAGAGTAAAGCGGATTCTTTCTAGCACAAATTCTTTGTAACGCTGTGGTCCTTCCACCAAGAGCGTCACAGGAATAAAAGCTCCTCCGCCAGCCTGTTTGTATCTGGAGAACTTCTGGGTAGAGCTTGACCTCGATGTTAGTGTCCGTTCTCCGTTGATTTCCCTATTTTGGGTTACAATAAAACCAATTAAATAAGGTTGAACCAAATAACGCGCACTGATAACAATTGGGACGAGTGAGGTGTGAGATCGCGGAATCGGGACAATTTCATTTCTATCCAGTATAGGTCGAGGAAAGACAATATCTTGCTTCTCTCCGATTTTTAAATAGACATTATCAATTTCAGTCCATCAAGCCTTTACGAAAAAGTAACAGTAAAGCAAGAAAACAGTAACTTACCCTTCAATTCCTGGTTATTTTACCACATCGAAGCAAAGCATGCAGCTGTATGTTTAGAAAGTGCTGAACCGTACCGATCTGCTACCCTTTGACATCTCCTAAAGTGTATGTCTTTCTTTGCGATTTGCTGAAAATCTGGACTTCTCGTAGAGCCTCTGGAATGCGTTCCATTTCTCGTGGAAGAAGACAAGCCAGTGCATGCGAGTCATACGTGTTGTCGTCTTCACTTTGAATAACAAGCGGTGTTCCACGTGGAGCTTTGATCTTGAAATTATGATACCCGGAAAATAAACGCCAATAAATACATGAGTGGGATAAAATAAAATCAAGTAGTCACAATCTATATTAAGACGAATACACATGATCGAATTCAATGCAAGAGAATCATTCAAGGTATTTTGCGCGCTATTGATCGATTCGCGGGAGAATCTAGGTCTCAGAACACTACAAATTCGGTCCTACAGCTTTTAGTCAGCAATAATATGTCCTTTACAATTACCCTTTGATTTGAACACCCTATATAGAAAGTTTGTTTAGGTAATCACTGCAAAATGTGAAAGCACGAGCGGTGTTTCTAAACGAGTTTCACAATTACAGACAAGTCCCTTGTGGTTTTAGACGAAAATTTCACTCTCATCAGTGCGTGTCGTTAAACTCCAACCTTTGTTTCCGGAATGCTGTAATAGAGACACTTCGGCAAGACTTTCCACCAATGTGATTTCTTTATTTTCATCTTCATGCCGCTCTTATCGCACATTTCCCGGATACGATACCTGAAGATGTGAGAGCTCAGTGAACGAATACCTCTTTGTTTTATGTTTGCCCGAAGGAGAACTTACTCGCTGGATAATCACATTTATGTGTTAGATCCCTGGTTTCCTGAAATTATTTTTTAGTGTGCATTCGCCTTGGCTTAATGATCATGAATCTCTCTGATGTCAAGATCGACATTGATTCGAAATTTCATCCAGAGCTCCGATTTAAAAGATTCTTTGTTTGTAGCACTGACCCAGGTCCGTGGCAGATTTGTGCCACAAAGACGACAAAGTGTCTCGAGATGCTGAATGTGTTCATCCATGCTGTTGGCTTGATCTGAAATTAACAATGTAGGCTTATAAAGGTCCGATAAATAATTGTTCTTTTACTTTAAATTGGCCGGCCACAACGTGTGGTTAAAATTTATGGTTTACACGATACTCCGATGGATCTGAGCAAAGGAATCCGTCTGGTAGTTTGCACACTAACAGACTTTCAACATTCGTGCACTCGAGCAAAAACCTGGTGCACTCGATTGTAATTTTGACAAATTGGAAGCAAATTTATTTTAGTTTTTTAAAATATTTTTTTTAGGAATTAAAAAACTGAAAACCTCAACTAAATAGAGGTTATTCCTCGAGCGAACCCTTCGCAACATGGACCTCCACCCGACTTTTCATCTGAATTTTTCCTTCTCGTCATCGCGACCACCACTAGTTCTTTGCTTGTTGTGTGTATTTGCTTGTCTTCTGTAATTTTGCAAGGTTTCATGGGATATGGGTCGGGAACTAAGTCGCTAGGGCTCAAATAAAGTAATGACTGAGTTTCCTCGATGTCCCACTATGACATCCATGTGGTGACGTCATCAAGTATCCAGAAATGGTTATGGCCCGGACTGTCCGAAAAAATACATCAAGAACAAATATCTCCAGT